TGTGCCATGTGTCCATCTGGGTATGAACTTCTGAGTATTATAAACCTAATGTTTTCAGCATCATTTTTACCAGTGCTCATATTGCAATTTTTGCTGTTATCATTGCATGTCTTGGAACCCAAGTTCATATTGCAACTTTGTTATCATTGCTTTTCTCTGGCACTCCTTATTACTGGTTCCCATATTGTATTTATTTCTATGCTTGGTCGGCTCAGGAGATTTTTGTGGCCTAGCATATGTGCTGATTCCTTAAGTTTACGAATTTTCCAATGTTGCTGTATAAAAATAATTTAATTCCACCTCCATCAATCCAACCCAATATTTTAAGAAAACTATTGCTCACTTGCATCACTAGAGTTCCTTTTTATAGCCAGAATGATACTATTTACACAAACTGATGGAGTAAGTATGGGAAACCCTCTCAGACTGTGCTTCTCCAATTATTATATGTCCTATGTTGAAAACAAGATTTTTACTAAAGTTATTAAACCTAAAATATATGTTCATTATGTAAACAATATATTTATTTTAGCTGAAAACAAGAAAATCTAAAAGCTACATTTCAACAAAATTCCGTCCTAAATTTTACTTATGAACTTAGAGAAAAAAATAAACTTCCTTTTTTAGATGTTCATGTAGATTTTAGTAATAATACTTTTAAAACTTGTTTATAAAAAAACAACTAGTAAAGACTCTTGCCATCTTAATTTCTCTAGTGAATACCCTCTTAGATATAAAATAGGTGTTATTAAAAATTTCCTCACGAGAGTGCACAAGAATTCATCCTCTAACACACTTTTCTTTAAAGAATTAAACAATGTAAAACAAATGCTGATTAATAACAGATTTCCTAGTCAGTTGTTGGATTTCCATATTAGGGGTTTTCTGTCTAAGGTAACTAATAGCAATGACGAGAATAGAAACATAAACAATAACATTATTTTTTATAAAAATCAAATGTATGAAAATTATAAACAAGATGAAAGTAGAATTAAGAACATTATAAAAAATGCATAACACCAATTAACAATAGCAAAAAAATTAAATTAATTATTTATTACAAAATATTTAAAACTTCTAACCTTATAGTTAAAAAGAATAATTCACCTCTTAGAACTGTGTTGAAATGTGTCACAAAAGAAAAAAAAAAAAGAAAAAATTTCATCTCTCTCCTACTGTCAAAGTGATGGGCACAGTCTCCACTTCTGAGACAAACTGCTCTCCTTCTCATTCTAGCCCTTTACATAGAGCTTGGTAACTCACCCACGCAAAACACCGACAAGCCAGCTACCAATCACAGTTTCTGTGCCTGCCCATCTCCACTTGCTTTGCAGGTGTCAAGTTGACCGTCCAACTCATTACACACCCCCATTGATCTTAAGATCACAAAGCTTCTCAGCTCGAGAGATTGTTGCGTCTGTCTGGTGACTGTGTCCGCATATATACAACTTGCACGCTTTACACATTGGGATGACCACACATGCGCAAACTCACTTGCTCTGAGGTGGCAGATTTCCAAATTCATCTCATGTCTCGCCGCCATGATCGCACACCGTGCAACTCAGGGCAGGCCTCTTCTCCTTGAATGAACTATCATCCGTTGAGCTGCCATCCGACTTTAAATACACTACTTGTGCACCATCTTCAGAGTCACTTTCATCATCTGATGATGGTTTTAACCCTACAACTGGCTGCAAGTCTTTAACATGACGAGGCACGCCATCAACTGATAATCTCGGTAACATGCCTCATTCTAAGCTTGTCCGTACACTTGCTGTGCAGGGTCTTAACCCACACTATGTCACCACTTACTTCCACGTCATCTGCACGTGGGCGCTGCAATAATTTGGTTTACAGGTCTATGGTCCTCAACCAGGATGGCTTGAGCTCTCACACAGAGCTGGTCTAATGTCAAAGTGTCCATTCGCCCCGACGGCCAAAGCTGCTGCCTGACATGCTGTGGCAACCCTGCAACAAATGCGCAGGCTATCCATCTTTTGGGTGGGCTTTCTCCAAGCTGGCGAGCCAGTCTTTCGAGTGCTGCCAGGAATTCATTGACTGTCTCTCCATCACGAAGTCACCACATCGCAAACTGTTCAAATGCTACGAATGCATCTATGGTGAGGGTGCGCTTGATTTAGTCGATATCAGCTCTGCTTTTTCTGAGTTGCCAATACACAGTGAGAGCCCCACCAGTCAACCGCAATGGGAGAATGTGCTTGACCCTTTCTTCATCTACCAGCTCACAGATCATCTCTACTCACTTGAGCCATTCGATAATTGGTTCATCCGACGTGGTTCCTCCAAGCTCAGGAATTAACCGCAGGTCAAAAGGTCTCCTTGCCATTGCTGCTGGATTCAGATAAAGCGTGTCAATGTCTGAGATTTGCCGAAATAGCTTGTGTTGAAATGTGTCACAAAAGAAAAAAAAAAGAAAAAAATTTGTCTCTCTCCTACTGTCGTAGTGATGGGCACAGTTTCCACTTCTGAGACGAACTGCCCTCCTTGTCATTCTAGCCCTTTACATAGATCTTGGTAACTCACCCATGCAAAACACCAACAAGCCAGCTACCAATCACAGTTTCCATGCCTGCCCACCTCTACTCACTTTGGGGGTGTCAAGTTGACCAACCAACTCATTACAAAATTAAATAGTGCAAAAATTATTTACCAATTTAAATGCCCATTAAAGAATTGTATTCCTGATCAATCAAAATTCGTAAATAATTATATAGGCCACACTACAACATGTTTGACATGCAGACTCACTCTACACCTTTCTAACCATAGCTCAATTAGATCTCATTTAAATATTCATGGAGACCTACCAGACACTATTTGTAAAATACTTGTTGACAACACAAATATAGCATCACCTACATGCAAAAAAAGCTAAAAATGATGGAAGCCTTATTAATAAAAACAAAAAAAAACAACACTTAATAATATCAACTATGAACATGGACACAATATCCTGACCATGTTTTAAAAAATGAAAACATTTTATAAAACATATATGCATTTAACAGTTAAAATATTTAATCCTTGAAAATGGTTAAATGTATAGCTGAAAGTGCTTGGATAAAAAGAACATTCGGACAGTTTTTATATAATTTATCATCTGAAAAGAAAAAAATTATTAGATTGCATGAGAAATTGTATAAAAAACTAAATAAAAGCACCTTGTCTGTTGTATTCAATGAAATGTGCATGAAAGAAGGATTACTGCCTAAATATACAAATATATTATATATATATATATATATATATATATATATATATATATATAGCATACCATAAAGCATAAAGCTATATTTTTATCAAATATATACACACCCATTACTACAATCAAGTTCAGGGAGAAGTCAGAAGAGACACAGGAACTATGTAGAACAACCATTTTGATTGTATAAACTTATTACAGATATATTCATAATTTTTGCCCAGTGCACCAAGATTATTCACAGTTGGTCTCTTGGTTTCCGTTCAAAGATTCTGTAATGTTTGTGAAGAAAAACTTTAAAAATGTCTATAAATTAAGATTTTGTGAAATTAACAAATTACATTCATTCAAATTATAGTTGACACATTATTACAACACATTCTATAAATTAATCACTCTTAGACAAAATAAAAATGTCTTTTTATTGAAAATAACATATCAAGGATGAGTGGATACCAATTTAAAGTTTAATTAACTTATAATTGATGGAGAAAGATAAACATTACACAACATTTAAAACGTATGTCAAATTGTTAATGTGCAAAGTTTTTATTGTAAATGATATATCTTGGATGTTTGCTGGAATCGTTAACTAATACATACCTGTAAATTATATTTTAATGGCTTTTTCCCCATTTATACTTTTTTTTATTGGAATCACCCCAAACAAGGCAGTACAACCACTAAGGCGCAAGGGGTTCCAGGGTATGGAAGAATTAGGAACAGAAACATTAATGATGAGCAGAAAGAGAGTAATCAGGTGGACAATTAGTGATTGACATTACATTTAAATTTTTGAAGATTAAAGTTGGCTGAAAAGTATGGAGCTGGAAGGGAGTTCCATAAGTAAGAATTCATAAAACCTAGGTACCATAGTGAAGAACTCATTCAAACAATTACCATGAAAGCATTTATAGAAAAAACACTGCGAGGCAACCTTAAAGTGGTGGGAAAGGGACGAGAGCTGAGGCACGAGATCAGGACCAGATTCTTCTATGGATCTTATCAAGGACCTTTGGGTAAATAGCAGGAGCACCAGACCATATGTGGCAACAATATTGGTAAACATGGACAAATGGTAGACTTATAGATATGTAAGATAGATTCTGGAGAGAATATATAAAATATTAAAACTGATTCACACAAAGAGTTCAATGTTTTAATTAAACAAAGTAGCATATTTTATACAACAGGAATTAAGATTACTTAATTTTAATTGTATAATATATATATATATATATATATATATATATATATATATATATATATATATATATATATATATATATATATATATATATATATATATATATATATATATATATATATATATATATATATATATATGTACATATATATATGTACATATATATATATGAACATATATAAATATATATATGTGTGTGTGTATATATATACAAATTTCAACTATCTCAGTCATTATCAAGAACCATGTGCTATCAGTGTAACAGGCAAGATTCTGTTGGCTGCATTCTGGTATTTTATAGACAGCTGTCTTTTTTTGTTGTTTAATGGCTAAAATTGGCAGGGAGTGGGAAGACCATACCAGAAAGAATGCATAATAACATCTTATACAACTTATTATTTGAAAATTGGAAAAATACAAAAATTAAAGTTGAATTTAATAAAACATGAGCATACAGTAGGTATATAGTAACAAAACATACACAAAAAATGAATTGTATTGTTTATACAAACATATCAATAATGACAGATCAATAATAATAATGCTTACTATATACCTACTTTTGCAGACCCCTGTAGATAGATAGATAGATAGATAGATAGATAGATAGATAGATAGATAGATATTTATTTATTTTGTTTAACAGCATAGCAACTACTTATGGGTCATTTAATGCTGATATTTTAATTTGTTTAACAACATAGCAACTACTTATGGGTTATTTAATGCTGATAGATAGATAGATAGATAGATAGATAGATAGATAGATAGATAGATAGATAGATAGATAGATTTGTTTGTTTAATGGCATAATGACTTATGGATCATTTAAAGCCAACAGATATATATATATATTTATATATATATATATATATATATACACAGATAGATAGATAGAAAACATACTTATCTTCAGCAACTGTACATTTTATTCAAAAGTAGGAAATGATAAAAATGAAAAATGACCAACTCCTGCTCATAGGCTAAGCAGTAAGAGGCTAGAGGTTCATTGTAAGAGTTTCAGGCCATTGTAATTTTTTGTCAGTTGCATCAAACAAAAAAGGAATTAGGATTTATTTGACAAGTGGATTATGACAAGAAGAATTAATTTAATGCAGAAGCATTTACAGCTAAAAGGGATTAAGCTCATAACACTTTCAGGCTTAATTCCTTTGTAGTAAGCACATTCATTTCTTATTTAGATACTTTCCCCAATATATATATATATATATACACAGGTAACAGAATTCATTTTTACACACACACACACATAACAAAGATTATATATTTAAGGCAATCAGTTTTTGTAATTATAGTAATTGATATCAAGAGATAGATCATTAATTATAATAAACAAAATTAAATAAGACTGTAGAAACAAGTGAATATTCAATTTTATTCATATATATATATATATATATATATATGTATGTATGTGCATGTTATCTTTAATCAAGATCACCTCATGCAAGGCAGTAAATCTACTAAGACACAAGGGGTTACTGAGTGTGAAAGAATTAAAAAGCAGAAGCATTATTGAGGAACAGAAACACTAGATGAGTAATCACAAAGACAGTAGATAATGATTGACATTACATTTAAATTTTTGTTGCCAGTCAAGTACTGTGCTTAAATTCATAAAGTCTATGTACCATAGCAAAGAGCTCATCCAAACAATTACCATGAAATTATTTATAGAAAAGGTAAAGGGAAGTAACTTTACAGCAATAGGAAAGTGGCTGAAATTGAAATGCCAGGTCAGGACCAATAATATTGCTGGTTCTTCTTTGGATTTTATCAAGAATCTCTAAGTATATAGCAGGAGGACCAGATATATCAATATCAGGGATAGAGCAAATGTAAGTTCAGAAGTGGACATTGAGGTCAACACCAAGTATTGACAGTCTGTTTCATGAATCCAACCTGAAGATTGCACTCATGCTCGAAACAGATCATTTCCTCTCAATATTGATTTCAGTATCCACTTCTACATTCAATTACTGATACCTGCAAGGACTTTATTTTGCAACAAGTATTTATAAACAAAAGTAAAAATGTTAGTTTCTTTTCAAAATTTTTAAATTTAAAAAATGCTCATGAATATACATTAGTAATTTTATGTCTAATAAAAAAAAGTGAGACAATAGTGTTAAATTTTGTTTTCATCCATTTAATTTTTTTTGTGTTTCGTCCATCAGAAGATGAAACACATCAGCTAAAATAAGTTATCCTTTTGTCTATATTCATATTGTTAACCACATGTTTCATCTCTCTAAAAGTTTGCAAAACACCTGTAGGCTTTGGGAGACACATGCATGTCCATAAAAGTTGAGCACCTCTTTATTTTACTGAGCTCTCATTTGTCATCAATGATGAGAGAGTGTACCATATATATATATATATATATATATATATATATATATATGGCTCAGAGTCGTGGACTCCATACAGGTACCATATACACCAGCTAGATGTTTTCCATAAAAGCTGTCTGCGTGCAATCTGTGGAGTTAAGCTTCAAGATAGGACATCTAATGTAGACTTGTTTAACAGGTGTAATATTGGAGGAATCGAGACCTTTATCATACAGTCTCAGTTACGGTGGACTGGTCATGTCTTGAGAATGTCTGATGACAGGATACCCAAGATCCTAATGTACAGCCAGTTCAATCAGGGCTACAGGAATGTCAGACACCCATGGCTAAGATACAAAGACAAGCTGAAAAGCAACTTGTCAGCAGTCAATATACCACATAACACCCTTGAGCGCTTAGCCCTGGAGCGGGTAGAATGGTGATCAACGTGTTTTAGTGGACTCAGCAATTTTCAATCTGCTTGTCTGAATCATCTTCAAGAAGCGAGAGCAAGATCTAAAAGGTCAGCCAATCTAACGGTGATCTCATCTCACAATCCTCACACTTGCTCCATATGTGGCCACCTTTGTAAATCACTAGCGGGTCTTAAATACCACTTAAGATTATTGCACAAAATTTCATAACTGAATCAATAAGCTGTCAGATCCTCATACGTCGAAAGCGACAGGAGAGTCCATTATATATATATACATATATATATATATATATATATATATATATATATATATATATATATATATATATATATATATATATCATTCACAGACAGTACTGCTTCACTGTAATGAAAGCCTCATATATAAGTTTTACACAATTTGCATCTAAATCTTTTGCAGATATTATTAAAAATGAATTCATTTTTTTTTTTCCTAGTTTTTTATAAATAGTAAATATTTGATTTAGTAGACTTTGGTATACTAGATTTTGAAATTAAAATAACCTCATCATGATTTTGGGACAGGGCTGGGCTGAATTTTAAAAAAAAATTGGGGGTATGCGCTAACCTCAGTAATTTTCTTTATGATATAAAAAATCCCAGCCCACCTAAATTGCAGTTATGGCTGGTTATAAAATTTCAGCGCAGTTTTGCTTAAAAGAAGATATAATGAAATGTCTAAGTGTTTAAAAAAGTAAAATAGTATTAATAATGAACTCATATTGAAAATTTTAGAATTACTGCATTGATCTGTTCTATCAGTGTTTTTTTTTATTCGATCTCATTCAAAACTCTTAAATTATATAAATCATTTTAAAATAGATATTACACAAAAAAATTGCCCTGGTCCCCAATTGTGCATCTATAAAAATTACCCCAATATAAAAAGCTTAATCCAATCTAGTTCAGCCCAATTGCAGCTTCACTTTATCACTCATTTCTTGTGCACTCCATTCATCTTCTATCAAATTCATCCTATACTAATTCAATGGGAGAGAGGTCAGGAGATTTACACAGTCAAGTCATAATTTCTAAAATTTTGTTCCTTTTTTTTAACTCCAGGTAATTTTGACATAATTTAGAAGAGATCATTGTCTTGTTGAAAGGTGAATTTTTTTTCCATGTATGTGTAAACCAGATGGTATATCATGTCTTTGCAAAATTGAATGATATTTTTTTTTTTCATGATTCCCTTGATCTAAATCAAATTTCCAGCCGTTTTGGCAATCTCAAAAAGTTTACAGAGGGGTTAATGATGTAAACAAAATAAAATGTCACTCATACAATATATTGTGGACAGAAGAATCCAAATTTGAACTTGGTAGTAAGAAGAACCTGGAGAAAGAGTGAAAAATAAAAGGAGTTCCACCAGATTTACTTACCTAAGACATGCTATGCATGAATACCTCTCTGGCTTTCAACTCAGATATGTAAAGTTAAATGGTCAGGTACTCATTTTCACAGCAACCCTCTGACTATACTATGGAGTGGATGATGATGATGATTGCAGATTTGAAATAAATGACTTTTGACACACTCTTGTAACTGTTGAATATTATGTTTGGTAAGGGTCTGAAAATGATGAAGGGTTTTCTGAGCGCTAAGAGCTCACTGAAGAAGACATTACAGAAAAGGTTCTACATTGTAAGGCAAGAGAAGAGAAAGATATTGAAGAAGTGCAAATTATGACCAGTAGAACTTAAGCTGTCTAAAATGAGAAATTTCATGCACATTGCCATCCAATATATAGGGATATCTTGTAACTCGCAAATTTTCCATTACTATGAATATTTTTTGGCAATGCAGAGCAACAATTACAATTTACACTATTTACATTATTTAGACTATTGTCCTCATCTTTTTTGCCATATTTATTACCTTTCAGCCATTGTATGCTCCGGCCTTCTTCAGGTGGTTGAAATGTCAAACTGAACCCTTTATTTCGCTCACTGGAGTAGACTGTTCTAGTTCCACATGCCATGTTTAATGGATGTCAGTTATCAGTTATCTCCTGTTAATTTCCCTAAGGGTTCAATTTGACATTCCAACCACCTGAAGAAGGCCAGAGTGTACAACGGCCAAAACCTTGTAATAAATATGGCAACAAAGATGAGGACAATAATGTAAATATTGTACATAATACCTCATCTCAGAAATATAGACAGACAATTACAATTTAACATCAAAATGGCAACAAAATGAAGTTGAATACTTTGTAGACACCAACTTTATACTAACTCTTATTTCAGTTCATTTCAAACTGTCATTTACAAGTAAACAGATAATACCGGTAACCTCAGAAAAATTAAGAAGCTAAGAATTTCTCATTTTTTTAAAATCAAATTGACACAAGGGGCTACTGAGAGTGAAAAAGAATGAAAAGACCCTAGAAGAAACTGGAAACCAAATCCTAAATAGGAAACAAGAGACAAACCCCCACTCCTGTTCAAAAGACCAGGGAGGTTTGTGAACTGGTCAATAAGCAAACCCACCCTACTCCTATTAAGAAAAAATAAATAGTAAGTAAAATTTCAGAGTTTAGGTGGAACTGTTAGAAACATAATGTTGAAGTAGATGTTAGAAGCATCTGGAAACCCAATCCTAAACAGGAAACAAGATATAACCTCTACTCCTGTCCAAAAGACTGGGGAGGGTTGTGAACTGGACAATAGGCAAACCTATCTACGCTTGCCTTCAGATAATGAATAAAGATGATTGTTCCAAGTTTTTTTTTCCAGTTATTTTGCTTTCCATGACCAATCTATTTCATTAATAAAATATTGTGAATTATTTTTTTTAATCATTTCACCCCAAGGAAGGAAAGAAAACCATTAGGAT